TTAAATGAAAGCTCTTGATGAGTGTAATATCGGGATGAGCTTATATCTTTAAAAATGTCAATAGTTCACAAGATATTTCTTAAATTGCATTGTTAAATAATGAAATTTGTTAAATTACACTGTACTTTCTGAATTATTGACATTTTTAAAGATATAAGCTCATCTCGATGTTACACTTATCGAGACCTTTCATTTGAGTACCCACATGGCATTTTTTATATATTTTATATATATGGTATTTGTGAAATATATAAATATATAAAATATATGAAAAATTGATGTGGGTACTTAAATGAAAGCTCTTGATGAGTGTAACATCAGGATGAGCTTATATCTTTAAAAATGTCAATAGATCCCAAGATATAATGTCATTTCTTAATTATATTACATTACAATAACGTTTATTACGTCATCTATTAATAAATATTTATTAACAGTTAATAAATTGTACTTATTAACTGTTAATAAATATTTATTAACTGTTATTACCAAATATGTATTTTATTATCAACATTATAATCAATAATTGAATCTAGCTTAACAATACTCATCACAGATGGCATACCTTCTATTCAATTATTCCTCTGTACGCTGGACTGTTAAAATACAAATTAATAAACTTCATCAAATACGTTTTAAACAATTAAATGCGTCATGAATATTCGGTTTATATTAATAACCCGGTAATTCAACATTTAATTAATTCTAAATTGAATGTGCTCATTTCGACCGAAAAGTTTTAATGAATTTTAATTTTTTTTATTATTATACTACAAAACAATTGTAAATTTGAATTCCCTCGCTTTACGAGGGAATAAATAATAAAAAGTAGTTCAATTAATTCGTAAAATAAATAGCTAATAACAGTTCACTCACAAATATTATACGGAGGGTTATTTTAAAGCATCAAACCGTAATAATATAAATAAAAAAATATTTTTGCCTCTAAAAATAACTCGTCAATATTTACGGCTCCAAAAAAAAGGGATATTTATTGTTATCCTGTAACACGATATGTGAAAGCTTTTATCCAGAGTGATCCGACGTCAAAAAATTTAACAATAAAAGCCATTGAGTGTCGCAAAAATAAATGATGATATTAAAAATAAATAAAATAATTTATTTAGTACTTGAGAGTTAATTTTTAATTAAAATAACTAGTTGCAGAGTATCGAATTTATTGGAATTTAATTATTACATTTATTGGAATTTAATTATTACATTACTTACAGGTGAAGCACGCGACGAACGAGGGAGATAAATAAAATAAACTAGTGATCGATCTCTGTGGCGCTCACACATTGACCTTGTCTGATGGTGAATAAAGTATATTGACAAAGTGATTACCGCTGAGTTTAGATAACAAATAACACAATAATCATAATGACAATGATTGAAAAAAAATACATAGGATAGAGGTTAACCTGGAGGAGAGATTTTATCAAAGCAGACCGCTCCGATCGTCTCACAGGTAATTACTTATAAATGTGATTTGGGTGATCGATTACCCAATGACGACAGTAACAATAATAATAACCCCGAATTAATGATACTTTTTCTAGGAAGTGCTGGAATATTCGCTATTTAAAGCCGGGTCATCGCGACCACCTACTCCGGGGGTATTTTTACCGGAAAATTAAACTTTCGAATAGAAATAACTCCGAGGGATCTGTAATTCAATTTCGGAGTTATTATCTATTTTTTGTGGACACGGAAAGAAATTATTAATGGCCATGTAAGGTTTACATTTTTAAGTAATATATTTATAAAGAGAAATGGTAAATTTAAAAGTAACAATTAAATAAAAATATAAATTCATAAATTCATAATTCATAAATTCAAGCAAGTAAATAAAATTAGCCTGAAAATTTTTCTAAATTGATTTTGTTTTACTTCAGATCTATTTACAATTAACAAGAGTGTTTTGTTAGCCATTTAGAAATGTAATTTTGAAAAAGTCATTCGAAAAGAACTTTGTTCTTGAGAATTTTTATAATTCTTCAATACCAATATCTTGAAGCAAGGTTTGATGACCTAAATCATTTTTGAACATCAGGCACTGTCCCACAAAATATCATCGGTATTATCAAAGTTTAATTTTCAGCCATGGTCATAGTTTATAAATTTTTTTTTTCAATATCTAATTATGTTAAAAAATCTTTTTTTTTTATTTTTATAATCTTAGACACAGGTGATGATCATAAAAGAAATTATAAAAATTTTTAGATATCGGCTAACTTTTAGAAAAAATTTTATTGTTAAATTGAAGCTGTTATTTTAGACACTGAAGTTAGTTAACTGACAAAAAAATTGTTAATAGAAAATTTTTAAAGCATTTATTAGATTAAAATTAATTTAGATTTTTGATCATTTTAATAATTATTGTAATAATAAATTATGGCAAAAAAAATTGACATTAGAAATTAAAAATTCTATTTTTTAAAAATAATTTTTTTGGAACAAATTTGTTAAATAAAATTTAAAAATTAACAGCTTTCAGCTAACTTCACTATAATAAATTGTACCGAACAGATCCGCCATCATTGTTTTTGATAATTCCAACTCAAAAATGATTTATTTAATTTTATTTAATTATTTACTGATATAAACTCTAAATAATTTTTTTCTAAATCTAGAAGTCGGCAAAATTGTAATTAAAATTTTTTTTCTTCAATTATCTTCAAAATTCATGACGATAAAGTCGATGCTAAGTTTGCTAAAAAATCAACATCATAACCTCATATTTTTAAAAGTATAAATTAAAAAAATGAAATTTTTTTTTTTTTTTGTTAAATAAAATGAAACAATTTCACAAAAAAGTTGCTTTAAATAAATTAATAAAATAATATTAAATCATGAATAATTAATTATTAATTTATGCGACTGTCCATTAATAAGAAGAAATACTAAATAAAAATTTCTTTTAAATATCTAGAGTGTCAAAGACAATGAATAAAATTAATAAAAAACAATTACCAAATGTTTTAGCTTCACGAGCACGTGCAAGTAATTCATCAATTCTATTTCTGCGAAAGTAAGTTCCAGCAATGTCTCGCCATTTGGAGCTCTTGGCCTCATTCACCCGCGACTCATCATCACTGGTATGCTCATCGTCATTGTGTTCGCCGCTATTGTTGCTCCCATTGCTATTATTATTGAGATCCGCTTTAAGCCTGAAATTACCGTCGCGGGTCAAAGGTGGCGGCGGTGGCATAGGTATCCTGAACGATGCGTCAGGTAATCTCCAGCGATTTAAATCGTCGCTCCAAGTAGCCGAGGAGCGTACCGCCACGAGGTCACGGAACGGACAACCTGGCCTCAGATAAGGTATCATAGCTTCACATATCTGTGTTGCCAGCAGCTCACGGCGCAGGAGTTCACGTCGTTCCGCGTCCCAGGATGCCTGCAAAAAAAATCCAAGGATATAACGGTACACTTTAATGCGCCAGTGTTCTACTATCTACAATAAGTATCCAAGCTAGTTTAATCTGTCTACCATAACGGTTTATTTTCTCAATAAAAATTATTATATACTGTGTATTAAATCCACTAGGCATATATATACCATACCTGCAAATCCAGTGCCTCAGCTTCGAGCTGTTTTGTGCGCTTGGCCATTCTCTTCAATGCGTCCTCAGTTGTCCTCAATTGCCCGTAGACTTCGAATGCACTCCCGCTGCCATCCTGAGCGCTGGCTTCTAAAGCAGCGGCTAAAATCTCAAGTCGTCTTCTTCTTCTTTCTCGCCTTTTTCTCAGCTCGGTGTTTCCTTGAGCTTCACCGCCAATTGTCAGCCGCTCTAATCTAGTGATGTGAAGCAAAGCATTAGCTTATCCATCAATTGACCAAATAAAAAAAAATGACAACAGGTCATTTTTTAAATTTAATGGCAATTATCGTGAAATTATAAATAAAATGACTTGAAAAATTATTAAAAACTTCGGATTGAAAAATTTTGGCGGTCATTTTCCATCTAAGTAAGGTAAAAGACCCAGTTATTGACACTTGAAATTTTATTTAAATTAAATAAAAAAAAGTCAACTCTAATAAATTAATAAATATAATTTTTTAATTATAAATTTTAAGATAAATAATTTTTTTGAGGATATTTTATATTTTTAGATAAATTTTGTGTTTGTATTGATTGATATAGTAATCGTTTTTAACAAATAATTTGTAGATGAATTAATTTCAACAAATTTCACCGCACAGAAAAAAAAATTACATTATATAATGTAAAAGTGGCGCTAAGTATAAAAAAAAACTGGAAAAATTACAGTTCAAGATTGTAATTATTACAGATTTTATAAAAATTACATTGTATAATGTAAATATTACATTGAAAGCTCTGAAAATTAACATTCAAAGTTTGAATTTAAAAGAATGTTATTTTGAACTGTAATTTTTCTAGTTTTAAATTCACAAGGCACTTATTATTATTTATAATGTAATTTTTCTTTTTTTCGTGCAAATTCTCAAGTCTAAATAATTGACCGAAAAATTTTTGACGTAAATTATTTATTACCGTCAGAATTTTTAGATAAAATTTAATTTTATTTTGAATATTTAAAATATTTAAATTGCATATGAAATAGGTTGGTTTCTTTTTTTGAGAGAGAAATTTTCGTAAAAATTTAATTAAAATAAGATAAAAGACCCAGTTCTTGACACTGGCCTAGTTATTGACACCTACAATTTAATTTTATTTAAAAAAAACAACAAACCAACTCTAATAAATTAATAAATATAATTTTTGAATTATAAATTTTAAGATGATTCGTTTTATAATATATTATTTTTTTAATTAGAATAAAATTACAAGTGTTAAATAACTAGGCCAGTACCAATAACTAACCAATAACTAATAAATAATCAAGTATATAATTTTTAAGAACAATATTCTTGATTTAAGGAAATTTTACTTGATTTAAGAATTTTATATTTTTGGTTCAAAAATTTTTTTTTTTAATCAAGTTAATTTTTTTTTCCAGTGTAGGTCTTTTATTCACATTAATTACAATTATTTTTAGTAACCCTGTTAATTAACGGCAAAAACTATTGGACCTAAGTGTAAATAAATAAATAAATAAAAAAAAATGCTCATGAATTTTTGTGACTGACCAAAAAAAAATGACAAAAGTTAAAAATGACCGTAATTTCACATCACCAACGCTAACCTCTTCATGACCTCTTTTTGCGCTGCTTCCCGTTTTTTCCTTCTGCGTTCATCGACTTCCCTGCTAGTCATCGGCAAGATTTTGCTGTCATTATCATTATCTTTACTGCCTTCGTACCGACTCCTCAAGGCATCCAGCTCATCCCTGAGTTTCTGGGCAGTGCTGGTATCCTCAGGCTCTCTCTTAGCTCTCTCAACTTCTTCCCTCTCTTCATAGTCTTCCTCGTAGTCAGCAGTCTTGGGCGAGCTCTCCAGCAGCTTCCTCAGCCGCTGCAACTCAATCTGATACTGCCTCAGAAGCGCGTCCTTGGGATCTTCATTGACTATAGGTTTGTTTTTTATGCACCGAGCTCTTGCGGCGTACCTGAGAGTGCTAAGAGTTTCTTCGGCGTCGACGTCCGCCGGGCTGATGCAAGCGATCATCAAGGTCCGGGCATTCCCTCCCAAGCTGTCACGCAGTAGCCTGGTCAGCTTGCTGTCTCTGTAGGGCACGTGTCTGCCGTTACCAGCTGCCAGGGCACTGATAACGTTACCCAGCGCTGATAAGCTCAAATTTATGCTCGCTGCTTCCTTCAATCGATCGCCTGTTGCTCCGGTTCTCGCTTGACGCTCCGAACCAGCCAGATCTACTAAATGTAACTGACCTCTTCGCACGGCACTGCCGCCCTTTTTCCCGCTGCTCTCACCCATCGCCAAAGCCTCCAGGGATATTGTCAGGACCGCGTGACTTCGCGAACTGGAAGCATTCATTTTTGTAAAAGCTGCGACACGTCTTTTGTCACCCTGCTCTACTAATTTAGCACACTCGGATGCGTTTTTTACTGTTACTTCCCGCAATCCGCCAGCTACGTAAGTTCCTCGCTGAGGATCTTCTTTCAGCTGGAGAGCGCCTTCGACTAGATTGTCCTGGAATTTAAGGAATATTTCATTTATATCTTGTGAACTATTGAAATTTTTAAAGATATAAGCTCACCCCGACATTATCCCCTTAACGAGGCCTTTCATTTGAGTACCTACATCAATTTTTCATATATTTATATATATTATATATATGTATATATGAAAAATATATCAAAAATACAAGTGGGTACTCAAATGAAAGGTCTCTATAAGTGTAACAGCATGATGAGCTTATATCTTTAAAAATATCATAAGTTGACGAAATATAATATAATTTTTTAATTATTGACATTTTTAAAGATATAAGCTCATTCTGATGTTACACTCATCGAGACCTTTCATTTGAGTACCCACATCAATTTTTCATATATTTTATATATTTATGTATATTATATATATGAAAAATATATAAAAAAAATTCATGTGGGTACTCAAATGAAAGCTCTTAATGAGTGTAACATCATGATGAGCTTATATCTTTAAAAATGTCAATATTTAAGAAAGTACAGTATAAAATTTAACAAAAGTCATTATTTAATAAACCAAAATTTTATTTTTTAATTAAAAATTAATTAGACTTTAAAAAATAAAAAATTTCTCAATCTTTTATTTTTAAATAATAAAATTACACTAAAACCCGAGATAAAACGTTACATTAAAACTTGAGTTAAACCCGATAAAGTAATTTATAATTTTCTCTATACTCCACGAATATCTTCTTAGCAACTTCCGAAGAAACTTAATATAAAAGAAAAAGCAAAGGAGGTTGTAGACCCTCGCTGACTTAAAGCGACAAGTAGCTGTAATCTGAGCACTAAGAAATTTAGCAATTTACAAAGTGATAATGATGAATAATAAACTATCTTAATAATAATGATAATGAATTTAGGGAATACTCGGGTCGGGTTTTGCCCTAAAAGTCCAACAAAAGCAACGTCAAAAGCACTTCAACCGTCAGATACCAGCCGCAGCGATGTTGATCCAGTGTCTGTGGCGATGTTACGCCGCTGACAAAGCCATCAACAGTGTAGCAACCTGGAATATTTACATTAAGGACCCGGCACCTGGCGGACAACCCTCCACGCCGCTCGGCAAGGTGAACTATTAATAATATACCGCATTTAACTACTCCATATCACAAGTAGAACGTTTAGCTGTTGACTGTAAATGTTTACTAGTTGCTTCTCATGTTTTTGAACGTTAATATGGCAATCCGTTGCTGTTTTTGCAATTTTTTGTTTATTTATTTTTGTTATTATTACGATAATTATTTTTTGAAGAAGCAATATGATTTAATTGGTAAATATTTTTTGACAGAGAGAATATTTTTTAAGCTATGACAATAATTTATTTTAATAATTTTATCTTTAAATTTAAAACTCTAAAAAAATACAATTTTTTTTAAATAAATTTTTGTTGAAAATTAGATAAATTACAGAGAATTTTAATTTATTATTATTATTATTTAAAAAAAAAATATTCCTCTGTAATTTGTAGAAAAATTAAATTTTTCTTTAAAAAATATTTTATTAAAAAAATTCTCTCTGCACACAATTGTCAAACATAAAAATAAAATCGGGAAATTATTATTTTTATTTGTCAGTCGTATTAAAGGCACTTGTGAATTTTGAGCATTTTTGATCAGCCAGAGACTTTGTTTAGGTAAATTCAATCATGGTAGTTAAACTCCTCATTTTGCAGTAGAGCATTAAGTGTTCCCATTTTCAAATAATTTTCACTAATTACTCTATTAAAAGAGTGTTTTAAATAATTTTTGACCCGGCTCAAATTTATTTAAAAATTAAAGTCTTGAGCTGGAGGAAAAATTATTTTTTTTTACTGTTCTCAATATAAGATAACCAAAAGTTGTCATATGGTAGGCAATTGATAAACCAACCGTAATGTATTTCAGTTGATTTGTGTAAAGAAGATGGTATGTAAATGGTTTAGATTTATTTTATTTATTTTTTATATCTCCTTATGCATGTTTTATTCTTTTCTTTTCATTTTTATTATTATTATATTCAATTATTTTTTTTTTTATTTTTAATCATTCAAATATTCGGCTAATTTACTATCATCAGTCATTTTTTTATATCAATCGCTGTAATTGCACGGATATTTTATTTTGATAAAAATTTTTTTTCGCTTTAGCTTTAAATAGACACCGGAAATTCATAAATAAATTAGTAATTACTTTAATAAAAATTAGTATAAATTTTCCAGACAAGATTAACCCAGAATTTAAATAATCAATAAACATGATTAAATAAAATTATTAAAAAATTTTCCTATAAAATTTAATATGTAGATTGTAATTCAAAATCTATATCAGAGAAATAATTTAATTAATGGAATGCTCCAACATGTTTTAAAATATTTTAATGAAAATTTCAAATATTCAATTTCAATCTATTAATTTTAACGATCAGTAATTTTTAATTATTACATCGTATATTTTAATTTAATATTCATTAATAATTCTCAATTAATTGCAGCTGGTGATTATGTAATTATTAATAATTAATAAATAATAATTAATAATTAATTATTGATTATTAATTATTAATAACAATTATTATCAATAATTATTATGAATGACGATTATTAATAATTGATAATCAATTATTAATTACTTATTATTAATTATTATTTATTAATAATAATTATTGATAATAATTATTAATAATTAATAATTAATTATTGATTATTAATTATTAATAATAATTATTGTCAATAATTATTATGAATGACGATTATTAATAATTAATTATCAATTATTAATTACTTATCATTTATTAATAATAATTATTGATTATTAATTATTAATAATCGTCATTCATAATAATTATTAATAATAATAAAATTATTAAAAATAAAAAATTTAATTTTAAAAAAAATTCCATCATAAGCTTTGTTAGAAAGTTTCGACATCTCAATGAACAAAAAAATACAATCTATGGATAGAGAGCGTTTGTGTAGCTTACAACAATATCCATATCTCCAGCTTGATGTATTATTATTGCACGTGCATGAGTTTGTATTGCGTGAGCGCATATTGTAATGTATGTCAATTCCATTTACTCATTCCACTCTTATTACTGTTGATTGCCGCTACTGCTAAATTTCTCTCTCTATTAATAAATATTACTCTATTTATCTTTATTCTCTGTCTCTCTACAATTTTCTCTGTTTTCTGTATACCTTTGCGCACTTATTTATGTAACACTTTACGTGAATGGTATGTGGTGGCTTGCACGTTGAACAACGAAAATCCTAACTTGAGGTAGAGTGGTTTTTCCGGTGTAACGGGATACTCATCCTTTGTAAATATAATAATAGTTACTCTCTCCCTTAAGTTCCATTACTCAAGGTATAATAATTATATTCTGTTAGATCTTAAATTACCAAGTCATTATCCAGTCACTTGAAAAATTGCTATAAAATATTAATTAAAGCTATTATTATGATATAAAAAAGGCTGCAAGTATCCCGCTAGACCCTTGGGGACTCGAAGTAGAGACTGAAGTGTGTTGGTTGGGGTGGGAAGCCTATAAAAAGGAACCTAGAATCTAGTGCATGTTGTGTCCGACGTTGTGTAATGGGAGGGCACCGGGGGTTCAGTCTCTGATGATCCAGGTGGCAAAGAAGGCGAGCGTGCTGAAGCGGAGAAAATCCCGGAATCGGATGGAGATGCAGGGCTCCCAGACCTCTGGGCTGCCCTCTATAATGACGCCGAGTTCCGGACCTGGAACTGGAACTGGAACCCAGACCGACAGCCAACGAATCGACAACGAGGGCGACGTCGTGTTCTACATGGAGGAGCCCAAAGCAGGAACGCCCAACAGAGCTCGTCGGGACAATAGGTGACTACTTATTTATTTATCTATTTCACTTGTCTCGCTATTCGACATCGATTTCCGAGTTTAATTTAAAGAGGAAACTCTTAATGTCGAGGTTCTTTTTTTTTGTCCTTTATAACCTCCTAGAGCAAGTGCTTTTTTTATTTTAATTTTGGTAATTTAAAAAATATAAATTATTTTTCCGAGAAAAAAATCTTTATTATAATTTTTAGTTTTTTAAATAATTTTACAAAACTCAAATTTTATTTTTTGTTACAAAAAAAAATAATAAAAAAATTATTAAACACTTAAATATTTTTTATTGGTTTAATTTTTTGATAATAATTATCAAATTTAATAAAAAAAAATTTTTTTTTAATTTTTAATAAAAAATTATTAAATCTTTAATAATTCATTTTTTGTTTAAAAAAAAATAATATAAATAAAAAAAAAAAATAAAAAATGAAGCATTTGATCTATACGAGGTTGCAGCAGTGCTAAGAAAGAGTTTAGAGTGAAATGGTGATTAGGGTATTTCCTATTTCCAGGGGTAGCCTGTTTACGTCGCAAACCAGCTCGGTGACAGAAGCTGCCAGCGACGAGATCGATATCGACATCGAAGAGCCCCAGAGGGTAACAACGTGAGTATTGCTATTTACTGTCTTATGAACGGAAAACACATGTGTCAAGATAAAGATATAGATATATTTATTATGGCTTTAAATCTCTTGTCTGATAGACGCGTTCTCTGTATTCCAAAGCCTCGTCCTCCAAGAGGCCACTCTACACCAACTCGATAAATGTCAATATTTTTTTATAACCTCCCGGGAGATATTTTTACAGCCTTTCTTTTCTGAGTATTGATTTAAACTCCTCTACATATTTTAAATGTTTTCTTTTTTTCTAATATTCATCGGTGTTGAAAAATTTATAAAGTAACAATAAATATTTTTTCAATTATGAATTTTTTAAAACCTCGGACTGATTTTTTTAGATTGGATTTATTTATTATTTTTTTTCAATGAAAAAAATTAAAATTTTACTCATAAAAATTTTATAGTTAAATTTGGTATTTGACCTTGTATTTCGTTAACTGATGACATTTTTAAAGATATAAGCTCATCCCGATGTTACACTCATCGAGACATTTCATTTGAGTACCCACATCAATTTTTCATATATTTTTCATATATTCATATATATAAATATATAAAATATAT